ATTCGCCCTTAAACTTATAAGGTACTGTTACATGAGGACTGGGCAGCCATGCACCGGCTGACCATGTATCTTCGATTCGATGCGGCAGAGGAGTGGCAGCATGGACGGGTATTATCGCAGCTGGGAAGCGCGCATCACATCGGGAGCTAACACGTCTCGTCTCCATCTGCCTCCACGCCCATGCGCCCATCTCACGCAGATCCGTCCACTCATCCCCCAGAGTGGTCCCAAAGCGGTATCGCGTCGCCTTCACCGCTCCTCGACTGTAAACCTCGAACAACACGCCAAACCCCGACATCGACCAACCAGCACTGCGCCATGGATGCAGCTTCGTTGTATTGCGGCGGGCAGCAGCGCAAAATTTTCTCGAAATGTTTTTTTTTCTCGGTCCTCGACATGAGACACGACCCTCCAATGGCCCTGCTCCCACCATGGTTCGCCGCCGTCACGTACGTGGGCCGGGCGAATTGGTGCAGTTCGTGGCGGCGGGAAGACGCAGTAACGCAGAAGGCAACAGGGAGGCAGGCAAGTAAGACGAGGCAGCCAGTGCATTGACGCAGCAGGGGTCCCCAATCGGTCGACTTGCCTTTGCATTTGTGCCGACTTACCTTACCTCCCGGCCGCAGTACACTTGTCCTCTCGTGCGTAGCTGTCTGACGATGCCGCCCCATTCAGCATCCACATCCACACCCAGCCACTCACTTTTTTTCAGCGGCTTCTCTGCAAAGACGAGTCCTTTCAAGCGGTCAGACCCGAGATGGGGCGCAAGGCTTGACAAGGCATCCCTTCATCGCCCGTGGCGCTGCCTTCAGGTTGGAAAATTGGGTCCGATGAAGACAAGGCGAAACTGGTGCTGCAAGTCACGGTACGTAACCTCCAAGCCGGGCCAAGCGGGCACAGAGCGGGAATCGTATCGACACTTTCAAAGGCACGACATAGGACGTAAATAGGGCACCTCGTGGGCAGGACCTTATTACCTCGGCTGGTAAACTCGTCAAGGGTGGTGACTACAGGTTCTCTCGCAGTTGTCCACAGGTATGGGTCACCAGTCTGATCTCTAAGCTTCATCCGCGGAAGTATGGTTGTCGCATGGTAGTTGTCAAGTACCGGGGCCAGAAAACACCTCAATAGACATGGATCTCCACCGCTCTCCGGTACAGAAGCGATCGAAGGCCAACCCGTCTGCTTCCGACCCGGCACCGGCGGCCGTGGCCGGTAGTGTTCCAGCAAGGGCCGAGAGGTGGCCAAGCTGCCAGTGGCCGCCACTGTCACGGCGATGCAAGCCACAATGTTCCTGAGGCGGAGTGTGTCGACGTCGTTAGCTTCATGGCCCAAGATCCTGGAGCCGACCAAGAAACGGGAGGCTGAACCTTCACAACGAGCCGTTCCTACGCCCGTGGCTTCTCAGACACGCCGTGCTTGCAGGACCAGGCTCGGAAACAAGCGGGTCCCAGGACCGGAGCTCACCATACGCGATGATGAGCTGAACAATGCTACCAGACAAAGGTATCCGGGCTGGTTGAGTCGGCCTCGAGCATCTTGGTGCACCCTGATGCATTCTTTGTCTGGCAAGACAGTCACCTGCCCCCTAAGCCCTCGGTTTCGCTGAAAGCACTCCGCTCTTGAGCCAAGGCTCACATTTTAAGGTTCCGAGCATCATAGCCAGTTGCCCCTGATCATAAGATAGCCCATGGGTAATATTGCCACGGTAAAGTGACACCTTTCACCGTCCCAACCCTTCCTGCATCGTGTCCAGAGAATACCCCGCGCCGCATCATTGACGTCCTCCCCTTGTGCCTCACCACCGTATCCGCCGCTTCTGCCGACCGCCAAGTAAAGAGAACGCAGTGGAATGGTGTTCACCAGTCGTCAGCCCCTATACGCCATGCCCGTCACGCAAACCTTCATCATCCGCACGCCCATGCCGGCATCCATCCCGCCCGCCACCGTCCTCGCCCACCTCCACCAGCACGGCCCCGTCTTCCGCGCCAAAGACTCCATCACAGCCTGGGACGCGATCCCCGTGCCGTACGCCTCCATCGCCAACGACCCGTTCTTCCTCCCGGACGCCGACAGCATCGCCGCCTACCGCGTCCGCGAGACCATCCCCATCCTCGGCTCCGTCCGCGCGCCGCTCCGCTTCCCGGCCGTGTTCCAGAACGGGCCGACCGGCATGCGGGTCAGGGTCGACGCGCCCGGTGGCGTGCGTGTCTGGACGCAGTATATCGTGCGGAAGCGCGGATCGGGCCCCCTGGGCGAGAAGGCGCGCGGCGGCGGCGAGGAGACGTGGTCTGACGGGGAAGACGACGCCTCGGACAGCAGAGGGTGGGAGATGGTCGAGATCCTGAGGATGCAGGGGCCCCGCTTGTTCATGCCGTTCGCTTCCGGACAGGCGAAGAAGACGCATCAGGACAGCAGCCGGAAATTCATGAAGCAGCTTGTTGACGCCGGGCAGGGCAGCGCGCAGGTGACGGAAGGCCGGGACGTGTGAACCATTGCTGCTGCAGTGAAGAGAGCCAGCGTATAGAACAGCGACAAACACGGTTCTCGACATGTATCTCTGTTGCTGATTTCTCGTGTCAATTCGTCGCCAGATGTTGGGGGTTTGGCGTGGTATCTATGCTACCCATTTCCGTTTTTCCATCTTCTCAATCCTCTCACAGCTTGGCCTCGTCTCTGCCATGCAGTCAAATCGTATAGACGAGCTTCCCAGCGCTCACCTTGCCCTCCTTCATCTCCTTCAAGCCAACCAGCACGCCCTCGAGCCCCTCGCCACCGCGGTTCGCGATGACGCGGATGGGCTTCACCTTGCCCTCGGCCAGCAGACGGCGACTGAGCTCCCAAAAGGTCTTGCCAAACTCGTAGTTCTCCTTGACGGCCGGCTGGGTGCCAATGTAGGTGTACTCCTCGCCAAAGATGGTGTAGTACAAGCTGAGCTCGACCTTGATCTTGTCGTTGACCTCGGCGACCTTGGTGCGCGACACGGGCAGCAGCGTGGCAATGTGGCCGCCTTCGTCTGCGAGGCAGCGGGCCGCGATGAGGGCCGACTCGTTGGTGGACTGGCAGTCCCAGGCGTGCCTGAGCTGGCCGTTTGTGTAGGCGCGAATGTCGTCGACGAGGGTGGGCGACTTGTAGTCGAAGACGGCGTCGGCGCCGAGGGACTTGACGTAGTCAAAGTTGTGGGGCGAGGCAGTCGTCACGACGGTGAGGCCCGAGAGCTTGGCGTACTGGATGCCCGAGATGCCCATGGCCGTGCTGCCGCCGTAGATGAGGATCGGGAACGGCTTCTCGGCGGGGGAGGAGGGGAGGGGCAGCTTGAGGGTTTGGTAGAGGCCTTGGCCCTGTGCATCTCGTCAGTCGCCCATTGGATAGTGCACACGCGGGGCCAGAATTCCCTGGGAGATATAAAAGGAAAGGATGGGGAGGGGCTTACAATGGTGGATACGGCAATGCCGAGCGTGGCGGCCTCCTCATCGCTAATGTTGTCGGGTGTCTTGATCTGCAGGTCGCCCTTGACGGCAATGTAGCGCGCAAAGCTGCCGTCCGTCTCGCGCAGGCCATTGGAGCCATTGACGGGTCCGCAGATGCGGTCGCCCTTCTTGAACGCCTTGGTCACGCCGGAGCCGACCTCCTCAACGACGCCGGCGTAGTCGCAGCCGACCCAGCTGTTCTCGCAGGGCATCTTATCGGCGAGGTCAACGTGCTTCCAGTCGGTGGGGTTGATGGCCACTGCCGTCGTCTTGACGAGGATGTAGTCATTGGCGGGCAGCTTGGGGATGTCGACGTCAACAACCTGGGCGTTGCCCGTGGCGACGATCTTGACGGCTTGGTTGGCGGGCATGGTGGGCGATGTTGTGGTGGTGTTTCTGCTCAATGCTTACTGCTCAATGCTTAATGCTCAATGCTGGAAGAATGGGAAAGTTGGTAGTTCGAGAGTCGTTTTCGAGAAGACGACAAGGGAGCAGCCGTTGCCTTTTTTGTACGAGGACCATGTTCCATAACGTTGTCGCGGACTGCCTGATTTCAAATCAGACATCCACTGTCAGCAGAAATCGGATTTAACCCCGCCTGTGATGCGGCGACCAGGTGAGCGCCGAAGCCAGTCGAAGTGGCCCCGTGGGGTGGCACCGGCGGCGGGATCGCCTCATTGACTCGAACTGTCCCTCGGCCCAGAAGGGAGTAGATGTCACTGACTGTACGCCGCCCTACGCCGCCCTCCGTGTGGTCGGTTTTAGCCAGTGGCCTCGGCAAGACGTCGAAGCTTTTGCCGATCATCGGGTTTCCCGACAATGCCTATCCTTGGGCGAGTTGCTGATTGCTCGTCTTGGTTCCGCCAGTGTATCATCGTTCCAAGCAGCATGAGTTGTTCTCAAGCTCAAGTGCTTCTCGCCCACGACTGCCAAGCTTCGTGGCTTCAAGGTTAGGCGTTGACGGGAGGCGTAGAACATACTGAGGTAATGTGTGGTACCTTAACGAAGTACCGTAGCATGCATGCGTGGGGCAAGCGTGGCCCCGCATCCACGACGGGCCATGACGGGCCATGACGTTCAACCCGAGAGCTCGGACACAAGGGTTGCGACTGCCCTGACCAAGTCCAAGCAACACGCGTATCGGTGGCCGTCAGCCAATGCTGACACGACAAACTCACCTTGCAATGGGATCAACGTAACGTTCATTCAGCGTGGTATCTATGTAGAAACAAGGCCATCTATCGTCCAGAATTCACCAATCCGAGCCCGAGCCTGAGCCCGACACCAAGCCGGTCCTCTCGAATGCGTTGTGCCTCTGTCCCACCCGAGTACCCGTTTCCAAGCCCCCCCGTCAAACAACGCCGGGTTCATGGTAGGTAATGACAAGTCGTAGGTCCTATAAAGGGAATCGCAATGAAGAAGGAAAAAAATATGTCGTCGTAAACTTGTAAGCGACCAAGAAGCCGCGTCAACGGGTGGGGCCCGTAAGAAATCGATAAGGCCGTCGTGACCAGGATGAGAATGGCCATGAAACATCAGCAAGTCGCAAACTTAACGCAACGCAACGCAACACACGAGACCCGGAATACGAAAGAAAAGAAAAGACGAGAAGAAGAACAAAGGCACACCTAGCGACCGCCATAGTCGCTCGCATAGCCCACCTCGCCAAAGTTTTGGCTCACGCCTCCGTCACCGAATCCCGTACCCGGGCCGCTGACGTATCCGCCTTCTTCGCCCTCGTAGTCGCTAGCATCAAACGAAGACCGTCCCGAAATATCGTCCTCCATGCCACTGTTGGCATCCTGGCCTGACCAGTTCATGCCCGCCAGTGCAGGGTATTGCACCAGCAGGGCTTGCGGCAGCCACTGGCCGTTGGGGTCCATGGGGTAGCCAGGAGGAGCCTCCAAGCCGCCCATCTGGGGGGCCGTCATGTTGTGCGCCATGTTCTGCATGCGCTGCTCCTGCCAGACACGGTTCCTCTCGACCATCTCCTCGTCGAGCAACGGCTTGATACAGATCCGACCAGCTTCTGACCTGAAGTGCCTGCCGAGAGCGTCGGCACGAGCAAACCGCCGTCCGCAGCCCCACTGACCGCCGGCTTTGAGATCGCCCTTGCAAACAAACTTCTTCTCGCCCGAGTGAAGGCCCTCGTGACGTTTGCGATCGTGCTGGCGCGCAAAGGCCTTGCCACACACGGTGCAGACAAACGGCCTCTCGTCCGTGTGGGTCCGCAGATGCGATCTCAGGTTGTACGCGCGAGTAAACCGCTTGGGACACAGGTTGCACTGGAACGTCGCCGGGTGCTTCTGGACTCTCTTCGCGTTGCCACTGTCCTGCGCATTCTGGTACTCTGGGTCTGCCAATCGCAGGGCAATCACGTTGTTGGGCACTGCAGATGTCGACTGACGCCTCCTGGAAGGACTCGTGCCCTGGCGGTCGAGAGGTGACAGAGAGCGCGCCGCGTCTGATCGAGGAGAAAGACCCGAGTTCATATGAGGGGAGAGGCCCGCGTCTGAGTTGCTGTGAAGACGTCCCACAATCACGTTTCCTCCGCTGTTGAACGGGTCCGTGACGGCGCGAGGGCGCGACCGCGGTCGTCCTGCAGTTGTTTGGTCAGTTTGGCGTCTGAGATGCTTGCAGGTTCATGAAGGCTTACCTCGCTCTGGTGGTGTCAACGAGTCTTGGTCCATGGGGGGTTTCGGTGGTTCGAACGAGTTCTGGCGAGCTGCTGGCGCAAACTCAATATTGATCGCGGGAGCCATCTGCGGCATTTCAGGACCGCTGTGCTGCTGGAGCGTGGGGAAAGCTTCCGACGACTGCAGCCCGCCGTATGTGCTGTGATTTGCCATGCCATAGGTCGGCTGCTGGTGGAGATCGGTCATCGACTGGGGAAGAATGCGCGGCGACATGGCCGGGCTATGCGAGGGGCTTCGCGACGCCTGAAGGTTCGGGCTGCTGTGGGTAGCGTCGGAAATGGTGAAGCTGTCGAACCCCTGCATTGAGGAGAAGAGGGCAGGGTCGGTAGGGCGTTGCATGGGCGAGTGGTTCCCGATGCCCTCGAAGCTGTCGGAGCTGACGAGGTTCGGCGATGGCGCAGCCGACGAAACATCAGAGTGTGCTGAAGGGCTTCTCCTATGGCCCTGGAACTGCGGCTGGGTCCAGTCGCTCATCTGGTTGGGGAGAAGGGCGGCTTCCGGGCCAAGTGACGCATGCCGTGAGTGGGTGCCCGGGGGCGACGAGAACTGGTGTTGGTTGAAAGAAGGGGAGTGGTGAGCAGAGCCGGGTTGGTGAGGATCAGGGTTCAGCATATGGGGAGGCGTGGGGGAATGATGACTCTGGGGCATGGCCATCGCGCTCATGTCGGCGGGATTGAGAGTCGGGTCGAAAAGAGGCGAGTTGAAGTGATCCCCCTGGCCTGGACTGTTGGCTGGAGGAAACAGAGAAAAGTCGTTGCCGGCAAAGGTCGGATCGAGGAAGGCCTGGCTCGCTTGATTGCCGGCGAAGCCGGTCGGGTCGTTCAGGCTGGTCTGTCCGAATGACTGACCAGGCTGCTGGCTGTTGAGGAAGCTACTGCTGTTGTTAAAGGCTGTGAAGTCGGGATTGGACGAGGTGGCTCCGCCGGCGAAGGCTTGGGTGGCAGATTGATCCAGACCGAGACCGAGACCGATGGAGGGCTCATTCTGGGCCGGGTACGGAGCGGGGGACGTAGAGTGTTGTTGTTTTATATGAGGCTGCTGTTGGTGGCCGGCAGACGGGGACCGCCCGCGATGTTGAGCTTGCTGATCCATGGTTGGGGACGTGTCGTGAGTACGTCAGGTCCAAGAGCGACGTTGCGTGAATGTTGCTGTCTTTAGAAACAAAGTATGTTGCGGTGCGAGGCAGTTTGGCAGTCAGCCTTTCCAGGGACGGCACCGCCCTGGGGCTGTGCTTAGGCGAGTCGAGTGGTGGGCGCCGGCGGGGGGTCGGGGAACCTTGGCGCGCGTGCTCTTGCGATCGTCCTGTGATAGGCCGCTCGGGAGCT